TGGTCACCCTGAGGCTTGTATTGGCCTGTGAAGTTGTGACACCTCAAAGGACAAGGCCACAGCTGAGGACTTCTGGCTCCAATCCCAATTAACTTAAAGGAGACTGCAGCTGCAGGCATCTCACTCCTGCTGTGAAGGCCTTCCTGGAGGTAACACAGTTCTCCTAAATTAACATAATATATTACTTGAAAAAGTCCTGCCCAGATTCCTGCCTTTTCTTGAGTAGCCTCCTCCTTTGTTTGTAAATCAAGTAAATATGGGCTGCCCAGAGAAGGCTTTGGCTAAACTTGGAGAATATCAGAACTGTAAGAACGTTAGTCCCTCCTGGATCCCTGAAATCATTTCCATTGTCTCATTCATTTAAGCCTTTGCTGTCCACTCCACTTGCCTGGGAGATTGCCGGCCTGATCGGCCCCCAGTAACTGTGGGTTATTTAACCTGACAGACAGGCAATGATCTTTTCTCAGATTTGTAATAAAAGGGCAGAGAATGTAGCTCTGTGCAACCTGGGTCCATCCTTAAAGCAAAAAAAAAAATTTTTTTTAACTTTTTGTTTTCCCTAGAGTTTTCAATTGCCTTTTTTTTTTTTTTTTTACCCACTTAAATTCACACACACACACACACACACACACACACACACTTTTTTTTTTTTTTTTTTTTTTTTTTTGGAAAAAAGAATAACATGCCTTGCCGGATCCTGGGGTTGTTCAAATGTACTAATCATGAAACTTACTTACTGCTCCTCTTATATTTGTGGACGTACTTCCCTGGAGCCCTCTTTCCCCCTGCCTTGATCTGACTCAATTCCCCCAGACACTTAGTTCTGTCATATCTTCAAACAGCTTTCTAGAAGAGGATACATGATGCTGGGTGTGGCAAGACACTCCTAGCAATTAGGAGGCTGAGGCAGGAGGATCGCTGCAAGTTGGAGACCAGCCACAGTGAGACCCCTCTTTAGAAACTTCATCTATCTAAGGCAGTCACATAGATGTGCAGGCAAGTCAAGATCAGACCCACCCAGTCTGTTTGGAAAGAGTTTTAAACCATCAGAACCTCCTACCATAAGGCCCGCTCTGGATTTTCTTCCACTCACTGGGTCAAACCACCCCATGAGGAAGCCAAGAGCAGTCGTGAGGGAGCTGTGGCGGAGGCTGGGGTGGGGCCAGAACCTCAGCCCCTCGGCGGCCCGGGTGGAGAAGCTCACCCTGCAGTCCGGGGACCGTCCCCGGTGCACAGACGGGGCGGGTGACACAGCGCGCACAGGAGTTAGCAGCGGAGGAGGCACAGAACATGCCGGGCCGGCACTCGCACACGCGGGAGGCGTTCCAGGAGCACGGCGCCTTCTCCACGAGGTCGTCTGAGGGGCACAGAGGGGTTGTGGGGACGCAGGGTCCAGAGAGCCCCCAGGAGAACGGAGGGCCGCCGGCCACCATCCAACAGGAAAATAAGGGCTCATGAGGCTTCTGCAGGGAAGCTCTCCCGGCATGCTTAGCGCAACTATGCTGAGTGCAACAGGGCAGACAGAGAAAGGGCAGCATTCTAGCCGGGCGTGGGGGTGCACGCCTGTCATCCCAGCACTCAGGAGGCTGAGGCAGGAGGATC